CTCCAGCTCACCATCAAGAAAACTGCAACCCAAGAAACTTCTCTGAACTTGAAAACTACTCCACCCTGGACACAATTCTACCCCAGAAAATGTTCTACCCCAGAAATTGCTCTACTCAAGGCCACCAATCCACTCTGGGTACCAGTGTCCCATGGATTGGGCTAAGTCAAATATTACTGCTTCTCACAATTGTGCTGGCATTGCTATTAAACCCTATGCTGGTTAGGTGGATCTGGGGGTTATGTTGAAAGATGCTGATTACCCTTTGCCCAAGAAGAGACAGGACAATGGTTCAGCCTGTGGGCAGTTTCCATCTGCATTAAGGCAGCACAGACACAACTTCCATCATCACAAACACAGACCCTAGACAGCTTGGGCTCCCATGGGGCATCTGGCCCAGGCTTGCACAGGGCATTGGCCAGGCATGCCTGGACTCTAGTTGAGGTCTTCCCTAGAGAGAAGCCACTCCAAAACCCCTGGAACCAGAGCTAGCTCTCAGGTTCTAAAGTTCTCAGGTCAATAAGGACTCACAGGTGGGCTCTGTGGGAAGTGAGGAAGAGAGGGTCTCTCATGAAGCACTGATGGTCTCAGGTGTGGGGTCACACTGACCAGGAAGGACCAGTAACCTCTGGGGCACAGGTGCTGTCAAAATCAACATAAATCAGTACACATTTTGAGACCTTCCGACATTCCTTCATCTCCTTACTGAGCTCAGCCTGGACTCGGGAAGTAGATGAATGAAACATCTGCCATCCTAGGCGGCTGGTCATCCTGCAGTTACACAGAGAACGAGAGTGAAATGCCAGCAGCCTAGGATGCACCCACTATCCCAGGTAAAGGTGAGCAACACCAGAGGATGGAGACTGGCACCGTGGAGGCAATGAAGGAGGCAGAGGCCCAGGTAAGTTGGGATGGAGGGGAATATTCCAGAGAGCTGGAGGACAGAAGCATAGAATAGGACACAGCACTCAGCGCAGAGCATCTCAGCCTAGGGGAGCAGTAAAAAATTATTTGACTATTCTGAAGGGCAGGGAGGCCACTGAGGGCTCCAAAGACTGCGAAAGTCTCCCAGGGAGGGGAGGTGGAAGTGAGCTCTAACTCCAGGGAGGGGAGGTGGAAGTGTGCTCTAACTCCAGGTGGCCTTTGGCAGATGGACAGGACTCCAGCAGCTGAGGTTCTCCAGGAGCCTGCAACTTGCCATGGCTCATCCTGCATGACCCTATAGGTTAATTGATTTGGGCACAGCATCACAGGTGCAGGGAGGCCACATGGACACCCCTGAGTGTGTTCTGTCACTGCTTCTTCCTGTCTCCAGGGCCGAGCCTTTTGTTACTGGAATAAATGTCTGAGATAATCACCTTAAGAAGAGGCAATATTTATTTTGACTCAAGCTTTGTATCTTTCATTCCAAGTCCATTTGGTCTGTTGCTTTTCGTCCTGGTCGAGGCAGCACATCACAACCACAAGATGTGTCAGAGAAAGTCTTTACCTTATGGCTGACACTGAGAAGAAGAGGAGAAGCACAGAGTCCAACAATCCCCACCCCCACCCCCACCCCCAGGGCTGGTCTCCTGTGACGCACTTTCTTCCCATTAGGTCCCACTTCTCTAGGGCTCAACCACCTCCCAAGGGCACCATGCTATTGGAACAAGTCTTTTGCAATGGGCATACTTATTCAAACCATAGCAGCACCCAAAAGCCTCAGCTTTATTTTGTTTCTAGGTTAAGCAGCCTCCTGTGCCTAAGCCAAAAAAAAGTAATTCTTTAGAGCCTGACAATGTCACATGCCCGAGGAAGGATCAGCAAAGAAGAAGCATCATGAAGCATCATGAAGCCTGTACCCAGAATTTCCCACCTCCTGTGGCAAAGGAAAGGGACAGTGTCTTTAGGGATTGGCTAGCTTCACTTAGCATAATCTGCTCTAGTGACATCCATTTCCCTGCAAATTCCATGACTGATAGATATAAGGAGAGCAACTAAGAACAGAATGGGGAGGAAGAGCATGAGAAGAAGATTACCATTAAACAGGGTCAAGAGGGGGGAGAGAAAGAAAGAGAGAAGGGAAATTGCATGGAAAAGGAAGGAGACCCTCATTGTTATACAAAATTACATATAAGAGGAAGTGAGGGGAAAGGGGGAAAAAACAAGAGAGAGAAATGAATTACAGTAGATGGGGTAGAGAGAGAAGAGGGGAAGGGAGGGAAGGGGAGGGGGGATAGTAGAGGATAGGAAAGGCAGCAGAATACAACAGACACTAGTATGGCAGTATGTAAACAAGTGGATGTGTAACCCATGTGAATCTGCAATATATGTATACGGGGTAAAAATGGGAGTTCATAATCTGCTTGAATCAAATGTATGAAATATGATATGTCAAAAGCTTTGTAATGTTTTGAACAACTAATAATAAAATAAATAAATAAATGTTTGGTTTGTGGGCTTGCTTTGGTTATTTTTCCCAAGTCCCACAGATATTTGGAAAAAAAAAGGGGGGGACAGTGTCAGGCTCCTCCCACATTCTTTCTTGGGCTAGGTAAAGAATAAGCTTGGGGCATTTGCAGCCAAGAAGTTGAACAGGGGTGGCATCTGTGACCCTGTGCTAGGCTCTAATAGACAGATACATTAGGGCACATTTCAGAAGCCCAGGACTGAAAAGAGATGTCACTTGTAGCACTGGGCTTGGATTTCTTGGTGCTTGAGGATAGAGGCCCACCTCAACTTCAGAATCCGTGTAGGTCATCACATGTGAGAGCTCACCTCCAACATCTGCAGGCCTGTCCAGCCCAGGGGTCCCCCTTTCAGAACAGTGACCACTGGCTGGCCTCTGGCCAGTCCCTGGTTCTCATAGACTTCTCCAACATGGCAGTATCTTGGGTATCAACCTTTGGCTGGTAGAAAATTAATCAAAACACTGGGCACAAAGAAGTTCTAAGTGTTCAAGGACAATAAAGACAAAAAGGATCAATTCCAATTCATAATTTGTCCATCATGAAAAGCCAGTAATATCTTTGACCCCAGCCAATTCTAGCTTGCAGCTTTTTTGTGCAGAGTTAGGAAACACTACCACCTCATGATCCTGATGCCCAGTTATGTGAGGTGACAAGAGCCACAGGGAGGGGGGTCCACCGTGACAACACTAAAAGTTGTCACAAGTGCCTGAGCAGGAGTTAGGGCCTTGGAAACAAACAACACTTCATCCAGAGAAACCTCCCTTCATCCAGAAGTGTCAGGGCCCATCTTGGTGAGGAAGAAGCTGGCCAGGCAGCAGCCAGGAGCCCCAGCCAGGGATGCACAGACTCCACAAGAATGGTGTTCAGGAAGAAAAAAAAAAAAAGCAGTTTTCACTGGCTTTGTCCCCTTCATTGCTGGTCCTGCTTCTGTCTGAGTTGTATCTATAGCTTCCTGCTGGGGCCTTCTAGCCCCTCTATGAGAGCCAGTTCTGCACCTCCCCTGACTGTGGGCCACACAGAAACCAAAGCACATTTCCAGAGCAAGAGGATGTCACTGCCAGAGGGCAGTTTCAGGCAATAGGTCCTGGCTCCCTAACACTCAGGGTGCAAAGGGACCTGAGCTTCAGGGTGAGGATATGTGCTGATTACCACTGGGCACAGAGCCTATTTCTGACCTCCTCTCTGTCTTCCTCTTACATTGCCCTGGTCTCAGGCACCTGTCATGAAGCAGGACATGAGGCCCCATTCTGGTCTCTCCTTTTGATGACCCCTAAATGCAGGCCCCATCCTTTTCCTGGAGCTCCTGCCCAGGACCCCAGGCTCACTTCATGTTCCACACTAAGGACCTCTGCTTGCCTGCCATACATCTCTCACACTGTGGAACTTCTCTTCTAATGTCAGTTACTGACTCCTCCTACCAAAAAGACTGTTTTGTTCCAGATCCAAACACTCTCTGTCTGTCAGTGATCACCCCAGATATACAAATATGCCAGGTCTCCTCCCACAATAGGTAGTTAGAGCTTTGCCTCAGTATGTCCCTGGGAATAGTGGCCCTGTAGGTATGAGGTCCTGGCATCTTCTGGAGATAGAATCCATGCTGCTTTACTGCCTCTTCCTCTCATCTACTTTTCAGGGTAACATGACCTTTGAAATTTTGATTGCCCAAGCTGCCACCAAAGTCATTGATGTGGTCTCAGTTTAGGCAGAAGTTGAGCTTGAGGCAGGGATGATTTCTTTGGGTGGACATTTGCCCTTGACATTTGCCTTCTGTGATGGTGGTTCAGAGCCATGGGCATCAATGTATTGAGGAGGAATGCCCAAGACATGGTGATGTGGCTCCCTGGCCACCAAGCTGTGCCTATGTTCCATTGGTCCCTGCCAATAAGCAGCAGGAGAACAGTGAAGTGGTAGTGGTGGCCTGGGGGTGGGGGTAGCTGAAGCACAGGCAGCAAGCATGGGATGCTGGGGGGAGCCTGTCACACCAGCTTGGGCCTGAGGTACAGTAAGGTGAGCCAACCTGTCACCCAATGCAGCCCAGCCTGCACATGGTGTATATGCCTGCTGCAGAAGGGCATTCCATGCAACATCACTGCAGCTCCAGAGCCCCCAGAGAGAATGCAGAATTCAGTGACTT